GAGAAACTGCTCTCTTAAGCCTTGTGTGTGTGCTTGGCTTAGGGGCGGGGGCGGCACCTGGGCTGGAGCTCGGCCTCCAAGCAGGGAGTCCCGACCCCTGACGGAAGCGAAGTAAAGCCGGGCCGGAAGTGAGGCGGTATCTTCCACTCTCCTCTCCGCGCCCGGAGGCGGCCTAAGTAGCTGCGGCTGGTGAGGCGGCGGGAGATCGAGCTGGAGCCAATCAGCTGCGGAAAGAGGCGGGACTTCCTGCGCGGGGGCCGGAGCCGTTCGGTCGCCGGGCTTTCCGTGGTCCCGGCTTGGCTTCGTGGTAGCGGCGGCGGCTGCGTCTCCGTGAGGAGGAGCGCGGAGCCATGACGTCAGCGTCCACAAAGGTTCGACCTCCCTCGCGGACAGCGCTCCCTGGTGGCCACGGGAGGGCGGGCCCCCCAGTTGGCTCCCGGATTTTCCGTCCCGGACGGGGGTGGGCGGGAGTCCAGCCTGGGGTGGGGCTAGGGGCTCCGGGCGGGATGGCGCGGGGATGTGCGCCTGCCCCCCGTAATGCTGCCCCGCCCCCAGGTCGGAGAGATCTTCTCCGCCGCGGGCGCCGCCTTCACGAAGCTCGGCGAGCTGACCATGCAGCTGCATCCCGTAGCCGACTCTTCCCCCGCGGGGTACGTGAGCCCGGGCTGGGACGTGGACGCTGAGAGCGGACGCTTGGACTCGATCACAGACACCGACACTCTCTAGGGCAGGGACAGATGTTAGTTTCCCTTTGTGCCTGGCCCAGCACAGAATAGGTGTTAATAAATGATTGTTGAATGAATGAATGAATGACAGATAAACCACAGACTGAGGCTCATAAGCCGGACTCATTCATTGCACAGCTCTACCCTGCTGCAAACTGGCACATTATAGACCACCATCACTACCCACCTATCCCAAATCACGTGGAATTGCGTCAGACTGCTGCAGATTGTGTTTAGGGTTTCTGTAAGACCCCTACTTGTTGAATTAGTTTTAGTGGGTTGTTTACAGCAGCTGTTTCGCGTTGATGGGAGGCAGGTTTTCTTCTAAGGTGGCGGTTGTTGCAATTTCATGTGGTTGGGGGGTCCTCAGAGTTCCCACAGGGCCTTAAGATTTTTTTTTTAAAAGGAGGATCTCTTTATGGGCCCATGGAAGAGGCTCTAGACATTGCGGGGAGGAGGCTGGTTGCTGTGGAATGCATTGCCTGTGGGCTGGCTCCACACCCCTCCTCCTCCCACTTTCGCTATTCCCCTCTCCCCTTCTGACAGTGCCAAGTGGACGGAGACGGAGATAGAGATGCTGAGGGCTGCTGTGAAGCGATTTGGGGACGATCTTAATCACATCAGCTGTGTCATCAAGGAACGGACAGTGTGAGGGAGGGTTGGCTGGCAGAGAAAGGGCGGGTGGGCAGCTTTTTTCCTCCACACCCATTGTTCCATCTTCCTCCGAACTCCCTTCCAGCTCAGCATCTTTCCTACTTTGTTGCTAGTTCTATTAGCATCCCCTTGAGGACTGAAAGAATAAAAGAATTGTCACAATTGGTCAAAAGTTACTAACATGCTATGGTGAATGGGAACTTACAAGAATTTGATTTTAGTTTGCCGGAGATACCCAATCCTTGAATTTGGTCATCAGAGTTCCCTGGTTATTTATACAGAGCTTTTGAGACTCTACTGTGGTGTTTCCTGGGATAGTGCGATTCTGAACTAGTTGATCAGGATCTCCCAATAGGTCTCAGTCTATCTGTGGGTCGCACAGGCTTCCCTGGTAGCCTTCCATATCCATACCCCTCTCCCAGAAGAGAACTGGGAGATGGGCCTGTCCTGCTACTCAGTTAAGGGACTCCACTCCTCAGACTCCATTTGCCCTAAGTGATTGCAAAGCTTCAGGAAAAAGAGTCCTATCAAAAAGTTGGGGGCCCCGCCTGGGTTCCTTTGAAGGGGTTCCCCAGGATTCCTTCCGAGTGGCCCACTGCCCTGCCCTCCCCTCCCATCTGCCCTCAGTCTCTCTGATGACTCCCTTCCTCACATGCTCTCTCTTTTCTTTAGGGCTCAAATAAAGGCCACTGTGAAACGAAAGGTGTATGAAGACTCCGGCATCCCCCTTCCAGCTGATTCACCCAAGAAAGGGCCCAAGAAGGTGGCATCTGGTGTCTTGTCGCCTCCTCCATCTGCCCCTCCACCAAGCAGCTCCAGTGCCTCTGAGGCCGGGGGTCCCCCCATAAAGAAACAGAAGGCTGGTGAGCGCTGTGGAGTTGCTGCCTAGTGGTTCAAGATCCCACCCGAGGTTCAGTGGGAGAATTGAGCTTGAGTCAAAGGACAGATGTTTTTTCATCTCCCAGTGAATGGCTGAGGGGAGGGAGGGAGGGAGAGCTTGAAGCTTTGGGAAGTGGGGGTGGGTAACCATCAGGGAACCTAGAACTTAGCTTATGCCCCCCTTCCAGATGTGACAGTCAGTGCTCTGAACGACTCGGACGCCAACAGTGACCTGGTGGATATTGAAGGGCTAGGAGAAACTCCTCCAGCCAAGAAACTCAACTTCGACCAGGGTAGGAGTCTTGCTCCTCCCACAGCTGTTGAAGGGGTGGGGAAGGACGTGCTGACTGGGCTGGGAGGGGAGGGGCTCAGCAGAAGTCTCCTCCCAGGTCCCTGGTGTTCTCGCCTGTGCATGCAGGGGATCAGGTCTGTAAGGAGCTAGGTGCCCCAGGGAGGTGGGAGTTGTATCAGAAGCGTACTTGGGGCTTGCTCCATCTCGGCCCGTTTTACTTCCTGTTCCAGACAGCCTGACCCTGGATTCTGGCCTTCTCTTGACCTCCGCTGATCCTCCTCTGCTCTCTTGCTGAGCCTTTCACCTCTGACCCCTCCCACTGTTCACCCTGGACCTGTGGATCGCCTGGGACTATGAGCAGGGCCTGCATGAGTGAGGGGTGAAAACCTGCGGGAATCGCCCATCTTGCTGTTCCTGTATGAGCATCTGCCCCAACCCCTTTGACTACCCCCCCCCGTCCGATGGACATTTTTATATAGAAGACAATAAAGATCTCCCTCTTAGCTTGGTGTCTTCAGCCTGACATTGATGGAGGACAGGGGACACTCCCCTCTGTCCTTAGCCCCCTGGGGCTCAGCCCCTCCTCGGCAGCTCTCACCACCCTGCCTGGAGCAGCACAGCCAATATTGGCAGACTCTCTTCCCAGTGCCAATATTTCTGTGCTGCTAGAGCCAGGGGAGCTGGGTGTGGGCAACAAAGACTCCACTTTGCTCTTTGGAGGCAGAACTTACTCCCGGGTCTCTGGCAGTCAGGATTCCTGAGACTACCCTGGGGATTTCAGAGGGGCAGCTGCCAGGGCGTTCACACCTCCCACCCCCTGCCCCCCTTCACCTCATGAGAAGGCCCCAGATGTTTTTTGTGTCGCTTCTCCAGGGTGGCCTCCCGGGCCAAGCCTCGGCGGTGCCTCCCCCACCCTCGCTCTAACACCACAGTGTGGTTTGGACGTGGCCACAGTGCCGTACAAACCACAGTGTGCTGCTGGGGCGGGAGCAGGACTGGGGTGGGTTGAGGGGAAGGGAGCACAGGACAGTGCTGTGAAGATCCCCCGCCACCAAGAGCAGGGAGTTAGAGAAGGCTGAAAAGGCAAGCATGGCCCCAAGAAGGGTTGGGGAAAACAAGAAACCAGAGCTGGGAGCTGAGCAGGCAACTGGAGGGAGAGGGGCCTCGGGTGAGCTCGCAGTGTCATAAGACTGGAGCCATCTTCCCTGTAGGAACTCTGCTCAGGGGATCCCTAGGGTGGGGTCAGAGGCAGAGGAAATAGGGAATGACTATGGGGGACCAACAGACTGCCTCAGGACTCAGCAAGGGCAGGGACCCAAGGCTTCCTGTGTCCTGTTCCTCCCCTCCCTGGGTCAGAACCCAGGAGAAAGCAAGGAAAGACAGAAGGCCAAGGACAGCAGGGTTGGGAGTTGGCAGTCCAGAGGTGGTGGGGCCGGAACATGGTTGGGAGAGGGGGGCCGGAAGTCGCCCTGGGCCCTGGGCCTGCCACAAGATGGAGGCCAAAGGCAGGAAATGGAGGCCAGAGAAAAAGGGGAGCAGCAAGGCCCAGGAAGAGGGCCATCTGGACCTGGGGGCCAGGTATTCAACCCCCAGCACTGTTCTCACTCCCCACGGCCCCCCAGGACCCAAGTCTCACCCCCTGTGACATCCCTCATCAGCCCATCCACCAGGCCCAGGAAGGCGGGCCCACCCCAGAAAGCCACGTTTAAGCTGAGACAAACATGCCTCTCCCCACCCCCACCCTAGGCCTTCCCTCAGCCTTTCTCTCCTGTCCAGGACTTGATTTTTAAAATACACCCCCCACCAGAAAGCGAAATCCAAGGGTCAAAATCCCTTCCGCAAATCAAAATTATATCTCCTAAAATTCAAAAGTTATCCTCCCACCTCCCATCCCACCCTTTACCGCCCCCCCTCTCGACACA